GAGTTGAGTTTTTAAGCCTTAGTGCTCGGTTGTCGGTTTTTATCGTCCTCTGCGCTGGGGCATGACGATTGTTGTTGCACACAAAGCAATCCTTGAGTGCAGCTCCATTATTGTGCCACTTCTTGGTAAACAAGCTGTACTATTCGAAACGGGGTATATTGGCTTGCACACATACATGGGGAGAGGCCCTTAGAGTTGCTTTGTAATACAAAGTAATGCATTCAACAGAAATATGCTCTATTAAGTGAGTATGCCACGCCTATAAACAGCTTAATAGAGACTGCCTTGGGCTTGCAGTCAAGTCTCATTGACTCTAACAACTTGAACTCTTGCCAGAGCATCTGGCAGTCAGTAGGCGCCCACCGCCCACTTTGCAGCTGGCTGAGGTGACAAATGTGCTTTTGATGACATTTTGAATGGCATCGTGTTTGCCAGGCCAATGCCAGCATTGTAATCTGTAAGCAGCTCTCACTGGCGCACCGCAAGCATCAATAAAAAATGGCAGCCGTCGAGCCTAGCTGACTGCCTAATGCTCGCTTAGTTGAGAAGAGGTGTCTGTATACGCAAATGAGTCGTAGACAACGCGAAATTCAAGCAGACTTTGAGTAGCTGAGAATGGGCGTTGAGCAGGCCAGAGCAACTTCGCCAGCATCAACTCGCTTTGAGTCTGTGAGCGAGCATGCAAAAATCTGTCAAACATGTGGCCAACAAAAATATGGCCGAAAACAAAAATTGATTGCACATAAAAGGCATATGAAAAGGGGGAAAAGTCTCGCATCTTATTTTCCAGCGAGGCGAAAAAAAAACTCATACAAACAAAAGTTTTATTTTTTTTGAGCCTGGCACACGAAAACGTAAGAAAGAAATGTCAACAACAGCCATATTTTTGAACTTCTTCTTCTTCTCCTTTTTATTATTATTTGTGGCTGAAGAAGCAGCAGAGAGAAAACAAGAAATTAATTCAAGTTTTGCAGTCGTTGAGTTGCTTTAAAATGTAAAGCGAGACGAAAGCCAAAGGGCCAGGGGCGAGGGGCGAGGGCGATGATAACACAATGCAAAGTTCACTTCAGCAATTCACAATTGTTGTTCCAGTTGTTGTTGTTCCACTTGTTGTTGTAGTTGTTGTTGCACAGCTGGTGTCTTGTTCGCTATCCGTGTGTAGGCCTAGTAGATTTAATTAAAATTTTATATAGAAAAACATGGCAAAGGTTGCGCTCAACTTTTAGCTGTCTTTGCCCTTTGCCCTGTCCCCTTCTTCCTCTCCCCCGCTCCCTCTCACTCCCCTTGCCTGTGAAGCGAATCGAATTAATTTTGCCCAAGAACTTTCTCTTTGAAGCCAAGCGCAAAAAGATAGACAAATTGAAATCATAGCTTGAATTATAACTATTATTATAAGTGTTATTATTAGAAAGGGTTGATACTTGAGTCGCATTGCTTGCTCTCCACCTGCCTCTAGCCCTCGAGCAGTTTGAAATAGCAGGTATAATTATAGCTCTCAGCTGAGCAATTTTCATACCTGGTAAAGTTGACATCTGGCAAAATATTGAAATATTAAGTATACGTCTGAGCGCAGGTGCAAGCAAGCTCAGTCTAATTGCTGGACATTGCTAAAGTTGAAACTGCCTCTGAATCAGAATGAGCTGAATAAATATGTAATAGAAGTGTCAGCTCCTTCAAAAATCAAATGAAATGTAGCCAATGAAACCCAAGCCACAGACCTAAAGAGTCTAATGAGCCACTTCCAACATTTCTGGTCGTAAATGCTCAAGTAATGCTCGTTAATATGAATGCCCTTTTTATTGCAGCCCGTGTCATTGCCTCAGCGCATCTGCCGTCAATAAAACAGCGAGAATGACCTTGAAGTAGTATAGAGTCTCTTTGAAATGCGCTCAACTGGTTGACCTTGAAAGAGAATTTTATAAAAATGTTCACTCAGAGAGTCTAGTCCACCTGCTACGCTTCGCTGCTCGCCTGGTATTTTAGGGGGTTTTTAAGGTTAAAATTCGACTCTCTCTTATATATATTCGACTTACAAAATAATTTCGACTTACAATAAATTTAAAAATAGATTAATTGATGAGCCTGATTAACTCTTTCGACTCGTTTAGATAAGGAATTTCTGTTTACTGAAAATGTTCTCTTATAAATGTTCAACAAATTTGCTTAAGCCTGAAATCAACAAATATCTGAACTTTGATAGGCTATGGCTCAATTGAATTTCATTTAATTTTCGAATGGGATTCATATTTAAGCTCCAATTGTAAATATACGAGATGTTGGTTTATCAAATCTGTAGAACATATTTAGCAGAGGGAGAGAGAGAGAGAGAGCGATTGGAAGAGCTAACATTTGTTGCAAGCATACAATTGTATGTATATTAAGTATACGCACAGTAGGCTACAATATGATTCAATATACAGGCTTCTGCATGCGGTCGATTGTTGATTCGAGCGAAACGTAATCACAAGTGTAAAAGGTTCGTCCAAATACCACTATACCAATTATGCACACATGTTTGGGTGCTCAAAATTTAGTTATACGCAAAATTGGGTTTTGGTTTTATGTTTCATGCAGACTCTAATCTTTCTCAATCAAGTTACATGTTGAGCAATTTGAGTTAACTAATTGAATCACCCGACATATAAGCAAGGCAAGGCATACTTTGCAGCCTCTAATGCAGAGCGAGAGAATGCGCAGAATTTCCATAACAAGTTTTTCCAGCGAATAACGAGAAAAACCAAAACAAACTAAAATAAATTAGCATGAATGTGCTTGACTTTTAGTTATGCTTCATGTGGGGTCTGCCAGCCAGATATTTGCAAAGTTTCGACTAGAGATGAGCTGCGCTGGTGGTTCAACAGTCACTGTAACTGATACTCTCAACAGTGACTGCTAAACTGTGACTGGTATTTCCTGGGAGTTTGTTGCATGAGCTAATCTGTCACTGAGCTGAGCTGAGCTCTCTATGATTAGATGATTACAAACATACATGTATAGAGATCATAGTTAGTCACAGTTACTATGCAATATCATCTGTGACTGCTACCACATCACAGTGAGAGGAGCTTAAGCTTAATTTCGAATACCACATATGCATTGTATATCCCTCTCATACTTAATTAAATGCACACACAGTCTCTCTCTCTCTCTCTCTATGCCGCCCTCCCTGTCTATCTCACCTTCTCTGTGCTACGTTTGCTCTATCATAAATGCCATGCGATGCGAGCATCCAATTTGCATCTGCGCATTGTGCAACTCATGTAATTTGCCAGGTAACTGGTGCTCAATTGCCTTCCGAGGACAACTTCAACAAATTGCCAGGCAAGGAGACAAAGCCAAAGCACATACGAGATACGTATTTACATGTGTGTGTGTGTGTGTGTGCATATGCTATTCCAGTTAAAGTTGCAGTCACAGTTGCACTTGCAGCTGCTGCAGTTGTTAAACTATTTTCAAATTTATCCAATTGCTCGCCCTTCGGCCCTGAGCGTCAGTTGACAACTTGTTTCGGTGTTGGCCAAGTGGCAATTGAGTCTTTTAAATGCTCGCTCAACACGTGCAAATGGGGTGTATGGGCAGCGAGAGAGGATGAGAGAGGCCCCTTGTTGACTACTATTCCTCTCTAAGGGACTTATGCTCTTCAATCTATATTCGTAACTCTTAAGCGAACCATCATTGCGCAGTCGAATATACCCGATACGATGCTCGCTCTATTGACATGTCCATTTGTTTAACACAATTTTATAATTTGAAAAATTTGCATACCCTTTAGCATGCATTCAAAAAGCAATTAACACTTTGCCCATATCCCGGGCATAAATAATCGAAAAATTTGTCAGTTACTCTGAACACGTTCGATCCGCTGCTGCTGTTCCCGCTCCTGCTGCTGCTGCTGCTGCTGCTGCTACTGTTCCCGTTCAGCTGATTGCATCAAATTGCATTTGCCAGCTAACGTAATTAGACGACGCTGCAATTGCAATTAGACAGACAGCAGGTGGTGCAGGTGCTGCAGCTGTTGCAGCTCAGCCTTTGACAAGGTAGCTCGGGCTTCTGCACGTCTCAGCCAGGTAAAAAGTGACTTTAAGGCAGTTGCTTTAATGGCAAATTGAATTGGCTGCTGCACTTAGCATGTGCATTGCACTGGAATATAGTTAGTCAGACAAATATATGTGAGTGGTGAGCGAGAGAGTGGGGAGAGGCAAGAGTTGCTAAGGGCTTCTTAGCTGCATTTGCCTTTCGAAAGGTTTATTTGCAATTTTCCTCAACATTTTTGCAACTTTCATTGCTCGCAAATTCGTGCGCTCCAATGGCGCACACACTTATCCGCAGTCGTGTGTGAGCAACTGTGTGTGTGTGTGTGTGTGTGTTGGATTATGATACCCTATGATAGGCTAGCACTCATGCACAGACATGCTTCATTGCTAGCTGAGTAAAAACTTTTACTGATTCACTTTGGCTTTTGCTTTCTATTCTCTATCTGCTGCATATGGACTAGTTAATATCCTACATTAATGCAAAGGCACTACACATTCAAGACCAACTGCTCAAATGTGCTTTTTGCAGGATATTTGAAGCGCCTATAAGCTGAGCTGATCTGCAACTGCAGGTGCATGCCATGGCCCTCGTTTGTTTGCCAGCATATTCAAGCACAACACGTGCCCAGATTATGATTACAGTGATACACACACACACACACATATACATGTTTATTTATGTTTGTATATATAGAGAGAGAGAGAGTTATTTTGATTATAGCCTGTTTGTAGGTTAAGGCAATTTGTATGGCAAATATCCATATACACTTACAGCAATTCAGTTGCAGTTGTTGTTGTTGTTGTTGTTTGATGCAGCTTTTCTGGCTGTGCAATTATCATGGAATAATAAACAAAGCCCCACAAAATCAACACTCGAACGTAAACAGAAAAATATCTATATAGAGCGAGTGCTAAATGAGATTTTTGATTTTAAAGTTTTGCGTCTTTTGTTTGGCTACTCCTCAGGAAGCGGAAGTCGAAAGTTGCTGCAGCCAAGTTAAAGCGGAAGTTGGCCGTTCAGCACCGCCCCCAGCAGCACCCAACAGCGCCAGCACTCAACGCCCATTTAGCGCCGAGAATGCCGAAAATCAAGTTGAAGTACACATAATGCAGTCGCTCGACTAAGAATCTCAACGGACAAATCCAATTCGAAGGCAAACGCAATTTGAGAATCCTTTTCAGCGGCAATTCGTCTCAGCAGCAAGTGCGTTTAATACCGGCAGCCGGAAGCAGGAAATAGATACAGTAATAGCTACAACAAAATGGCGGATCTGGAACGCATTAGACTCGTCCTGCTGGGCGGCGCGGGAGTCGGCAAGAGCTCCATTGTCAAGCGCTTCCTATTCAAGAGCTACACGGACAAATATCGCGCCACCGTCGAGGATCTCTACAATCGCGAGTACGACCTCGGCGGCGTCACCCTAAAGGTGAGTGCAACGAGGACACCTGCCCTAAGTGCTGCTCGCGTGATAACAATTGAAGCAGCTTACCTGTTACCCTCCGTTAACAACTGTCCCCTGTCCCCTGCACTTGCCATCCCCTCACGGGGGGCAGAAGTCAGCCAGGCCAGCAAGGCGAACGCTTAGCAGTTGCTTTTTATGCCTCGTACTCATTCCGAAAGGGTTTTGATAGGGTGTGATGCGCATTTTCAAAACGAATGTAACAGGCAGAGAGTGTAGTGCCAGAGTAGAGGAAGATTAAGAGGAGCCACTCGAAAATGCAGGAGTAGAGGAGTCGAGGAGATGTAAAGTAACAGAGTAGAAGAGTGAAAGAGAAGAAGAGTCGAAGAATAGAAGAATCGAAAAGTGGAAGAGAATAACTCTACATGAATATCATAGATAAGAGTGTAAGAATAGGCGAGTAGAATAGTATGATGAGCAGAAGAATAGAAGAATCGAAGAGTGTAAGAGCATAGTACCTGAGAGACCAGAGGATAAAACTTAAGCAGAATAAGAGTATAAGAGAAGAATAAAAGACTAGATGAGTAGAAGAGTAATGGAGTAAAAGATTAGAAGAGTATAAGATCTGCTAATGATTTGATACGGAAATTCCCTTTAACCTTGGCTCCAATTTAGGGTATCCCCTAGTCGTACACTGCCTATGGGAGCACTCTTGCATGCACCTCTTTTCATTTCCCTTTATTTGTATTACAATTTTATGGGTGTTTGGCTTAGCCGCCTGCCAGGGCATTTAAACTGCAATTTTGTTGTTCGCTGAGCTCCAATTGTTGCACTCTGAGTGCAGCAGTTGCAGCGGCTGCAACAATTTGTGTGGGTGTGCGAGTGTGTGTGCAAGTGTGTGTGGGTTGCGGCAATGTGCCACTAATTAAATCAAAATCATAATGGATGCAACTGAGTTTCCAGTGGCATTTGACTTGCAGCAGATGCAATGCCCAATGAGCAGATAGTGGGCCCAGTTATTAGTGTGAGAGCTTCGATTCAAATGAATTGCGACGGAGAGTTAACCAAGAGCTACACGGATTGTTTAGTAGGAAGTGCAGGACTAGATAATGCCATGAAGTACTGACTGAGCCTAGTAACGCCTTTAGCTCTCAAGTTCTCGAGCTTGTGCTGGAAATCAATTGAGACAGATACTCTAAACTTTCGTCTATTTGTTACATACACCATATTAAAATCAGTTTACCCCGTTTGATACACCACTCAGAATTGGAATCCTGATTAAAAATGTGCTTCACTTACGACAAAGTTATGGGAGCTAGCATATTTGTCTGGCATTAGAAACCTTGTCTACATCAAATTGGATTACATTTGTATGCAGAGAGAAAGAGTGAGACCAGAAGCATACATGTACGATCTATATATAGAATCGTTGCTCAAGTAGCACTCAGTAAGCTCTACATTAAAATTCCAAATTTTATGTTTGATGCTCGCAGGCAAATTGAGCGCGCTTAAAGTGAGTAAATGATGGGCAAATGGGTTAATCTATGAGTTTGTGTTTAGTTTAGCCTGTAGCTAAGCAAGCACACGTACACGCTCACACCCGCACACACACACACAGATATTCATTACATATATCCTTCTGTCAAACATGAGCTGTGCTGCGAGGCTTAGACAAGCCGACAAGCTTGTGGGAAGCTGCCTCACATTAATCAAATTTACACGCCACGCCATCAAATACTGCAAAATTTCCGACGCACAACATGTTATGGATATTGTCTCGGTATGGCACACCCACAGCCTCTAGTCCCCATCCCCCTGCTTATCTCTCTCTCTCTTCTGCTGGGACATCATTCAGGGCTGATTATTTGCTGCTTGGAGAGTTGGCCTTAACACACGGCCAACAGCTCGCCGCAAAACTTGTAACAAAAAGTTGATTAATAGGTATGCAGCAGTATTCCTTCCCTCCCCTCCCTCTCCTACTCCCTCTCCCTCACTCATTCTCTATCTGTGTTGCCCTCTGGTTTCCATGGCTCCGACGGTCGCCAAATTGATGTTGACTAAACTGCGTTGAGGTCGACATTGACACTCCTGGTGGTGGCGTCGCCTCTGCCATCATCCGCAGCATCGACAATGTCATCATCATCATCGGAATTTTTGGTTTTAATTAAATTCGTTTTAACGCTTCGTAACTGGACTAAAATGTCAGAGGACTATGTGGACTCTGGGCTAGGGGCTCTCTGGGCTAGGGGCTCTCTGGGCGCTGTGGGCTATAAGCTGTTCGTAATGGCCAGTGGGCGTGGCTGTCATTTTTACCGAAAAGGGCAACAAATCATTATTTTTTGTTTTGTTTTGTGGCTTGAAAGTTGAAGTTCAGCTCGAAGCAATCAGAACAGATTTTAATATACATAAATAATTGCTAGAGCTGAGCGTGCTTGGCCTGCAGATTTCGTGAGCTTGAGAGGACCTTTTCCTGAGAGCTTTATTCGTGTAGTGAAAATGAGAGTTGAAAATCATTTTAATGGAATCTGAATAGGGAAAGAGCTGCTTAAGTTACTTTTAAGAAATTTTACTTAAATAACGGGAGTGGCTGACTAATCATTCAGCTTGATGAATTATATATGCATGTTAACCTTTGGCCACGGCCCACTACCTAGAATATTCGAATAGGCCTAGATTTTCGTCAATCAATCAACCTTTAAGTAATTATCTATCCTCTACACACTGTAATAACTATATTGCACTCTCACTTATTCTTCTACTCTCACTCGTTCTCTCTCTCTCTCTCTCTCTTTCGCACGCCCTCTCTGTGCATTTCGCGCTCATTCGAATTGCATTCCATGTTAAATTACGCATACGCCGCGTGTTCTGCGCTTATTTTCAATCTCAATGCAATCAACTTGGATTAGAATTCCCTGTGAAAAGTAGTTTGTGGCTGCTAAACATGCACACACACACACACACACACACACACACACACACACACAAACACCCGCACACATACACGCGCAACCGAAACATTGGGGTCACGTTTAACAGATTGTTGTTGTTGCTGTTGTTGTCGTTGTTGTTGCTAAAACCCGCTGCGGCACATTACACGGCGCAACAACTTTGAGCGTTTAACATTTGTGGCCATAAAATAGCGCGGCCTTAATAGCAATTTGGTGCCAACACAGCTGGAATACAAACAATGCAGCAAAGCCTTGGTCAAAAACATATCAGCGAGGGCAGGCTGAAAAGTTGATTATCTATATGTATGTAGATATATGCCTCAATTGTGATTCTTTGCTATAAATAGGAATATTACATGAGATCTGTTCAACTCAACTTGAAGCAATAGCAAGGACGAGAGTGCCTGATACCCCAAAGTGCAAGATACCCAAACTTATGAGACCGAAAGTACAGACAGTTCTGGCTATATAACCTAATTGGGTACTCTAGCTCTAAGACTAAAGGAATTTCGACTTTTTTAAATTTTACAGCTGCATTTCAAAGTCAAATACTCTTGGACTACTCTCGCATGTGTATGTAGAGAGCATTCGCTGCTATTGTTGCGGACTCGCGCATTTTTATAATAAAGTTGCCTTTTGACTCCGGCGATCGCTGCAACAATGCGCTACAAATTGCCGAACAATGGCCAACATTTCAGACAATAGAGCGGACTGAAATCCGCTTGCCCTGCACTTCCTCTACCGCACACAGACTCGCCCTCTCTCGCTCGCTCTCTCTCTCTCTGTCTCCCTCGTTATCTTTACGCTTGTCTGTCTCTGTGTTTATATGCATTTAACGGCAGGGATTAGTTGGCATCATTGCATTGAACCGGACTTAACCTCTGGCCTCCGCCAATGCCCACGCTCACGCCCACGCCCACGCCTACTATTTGTGCATTTGACTAAATTCAAAAGTTAAAATTCCCAATTTCAAATACCAAATTAAATGACAGCTGGCAGATCTGCTAAGCAAAGTTTTTGCTTTGCTGCGCACTGCACGAAAATAGAGCTCGACTCTCGTTTGTGCTCGACATGCAAATGGAGCTTTGAAACGAATATGAAAAATGCCATCAATGATAGCCGTAAAAAAACAAATGTAGCCATGCTCGACATTTGAAACAAGAGACACAGATATGGAGCTCTCTATAGGAAGAAACAGGAAGCCTACAGTGCGATGGGAGGCAGGTGGATATTGAATGTGAATATGAATGAGAATTTATAGCCGTATCAAAATATAGAAATAATAATCTAGAGTAAATAAGCAAAGAGCGCAAAAGCAAATGAGAGCAGGCAGATGAATATATAAACAAACAGAAATACGTGTATAAATATAAGCAGCTCTGCTCATGAAAATAGTCGTGCGAATGAGCACTAAATGTTCGATTATCAAATTTAGTTAAACAGAATGTGTTGAGAACAATTTGAAATGAATCGAATAGTATCTGTATTATGAGTCAAACAGACTTTAAGGAATCGAGTGAGGAATATAGCTATATACAATATATAAATAGTGTTTCAGATTACAATGAGAATTTTATTATGCGAAAGGTGGCATTGGCAGATGAAGGAGGTAGATCAGGTAGATTCTATTCATTAAAAGTACATAATACATATGATCTTATGTCTACTGCCAGTAGACTACGCCTAGTCTAGCCTATTACACTTGACGAATTGCTCTATTAAATCATGCATCTCAATATTGAAATATTCACCCACCTTACATTAAAGTCTTTTCGTTTTATATACTAGCTCACGAGCCTAGCAATATGCGTTCACTTGCCTGCTGATTCTGAGTTTCAGTCTGAATGTGTTCAGCTTTCATCTGGATTCCCAAAAGGCTATAAAGTAGCTTCAAATTGGCTGTAGAAGTGTTTTGCAAAGTATCAGCCAGATTTTAATATACGCCTTGAACAGAAGTTTTTCCCAGCGAAAGAGAGAAACTCTGAGAAATCCATATCGAATTGACTCTTGCCACTTATTTGACACATGCGCTTATGTATATATTTTCATATAAATAAATATACTTTTATACTTGCCGCATTCCGTGACAAACATAGAAAAAAAAAAACGACTTCCTGCTATTGTGCGAAAAGTGGGAGGGGCAAACAAATATATGAAATATTTGTAGACGTGTTTTACGTGCTCGCCATAAAACTCCAGTTAAAGCCGGCATCAGCCAGCGACAGCTTCAACTAAGCCACAAATCGAACACCACAAAATCGAGCACAAACAAAAAAAAAACTGCTTTAAAATATGGAAAGCGAAATGGCAGAAATTCACAGATATTGAAATAGAGCAAAAGCGCAGCTTCATCGCATATTTGTGCGTATTAATAACAAAAGTATTGCAAATAAAAATGAATGCTAAAAAAGAATGCAATTCTCATTGGAAAATGAAATAAAATTGATTATTATTTAGCAATCAAATGTCTGTGTTTGCCGAGAGTTGAATTCAAATTCGCATTTATAAACAAATTGATATCAATTTCGTTTTGTATCAATTTAATTGCATAGGCATCAATTGCAGCCATAATTCGAATTCTCGTTCGCATTCAAGATGTTTGCAATTTGCAAATTCTGCTGTTGCTGTTAAAGCTAAAGTTAAATATGATTTTAGGGGCAACTGTTTGTGGCATTTAAAATGAGCTGGAAAATCGAAAATGGTTGCTAATGATATCATTGATAATTATTGCGATATAGCCAATAACACGCATACACCATGTATTACAATATGTTTCAGAGTTTCTGCTTCTTCATTTCCACTTTTGATGCCGCAACAACTCTAAAGTGTTTGTTTCGAATACGTACAGTACTTTTGCCTGTGCCACTTGAAGTTAAACTTAATTTGTGGTATGAAATTCCCTCTTTGAGCAACTTGAAATTATTGTAAAATGAAATTTTTGATTATGAAATAAATTAAATAGGATCACAGCGGGGCGTAGGCGTCATATATAAAATAACACGCATACGCCACGTAACACAATATTATTCACAGTTTGTGTCCTACGCATTCCAATTCTCAAGAGTTTGATTTGAGTACAGTAAACACTGCCTACATAGATGTTCTATATTTTTCTATACTTCCCATTCGAAGGAAATAAGAATTTAATGAAATGCTGTTATTCATAAATTAATTTCAAAGCACAGCATGGCGTATGCACAATATATCAAATAGCACGCATACGCCATGTAATACAATATATAATTTCTGTCTTGAAAATTCTAAATTTTAAACAGCTAGATGCCCATATTTCTATATATTGGCATCATATATCATATCATATATATATGCATATATGTTTTCATATTAATTGGAAAATCTTCGCCGTTTGACATTTTCTAGTTGAAAATTCGATTGTGGTGTGTGGCGTGAAGTGTGCTTATAACGAGCGAACTGCTTTTAATGAAATAATGCAAATCACATTAACCCGCACAAAAAGGTAACCGCACAATGCGGCGTATGCGTGACGTGCTTTAAATATTACACATACGCCATGTAATACAATATGTTTTCTACTTTGACACGCGCATTTAATTAATTTTTCGGCCTTAATTTGTTGCTGCTGTTTGTTTATCATAATTGTCGTTGTCGTTGTTGTTGTTGTTGTTGTTGTTATTGTTATTGCTGTTGTTGTCGTTTGCAGGTGGACATTTTGGACACATCCGGTGACATGCAGTTCCCCGCCATGCGACGCCTCTCCATTGCGACAGCGCACGCCTTCATGCTGGTCTATGCGACAACCTCGGCCCCCAGCTTCCAGTGTGTGAAGCAGTGCTTCGAGGAGATCCGCGAGCAGCGCGCCGACTTTCAGGTGAGCGGAGCGCGGAGTTCGCCCACACACACAGCTTCTGCTGTTTGCATTTTACATGCAATTAGCGCGGCCATAAAAAATAATGCCACGCACCAGGCACCAGGCACCAGGCAACAATCCCTCATGTTGCCCAATTTCAATGCCCCAAAGCAATTAAGACCACACACAACAAAAACAAAAAAGAAATGAATAAAGAAAGAGGAGGAGGAAGAAAACACTAAGACGTCTGTACACAGAGCTTGGCCAAAGTCTTTGGTGGCTTTATGCTATTGTTGTTGTTGTTGTTGTTGCTGGCTTTGCCTTTTGTGTGTGTGCGTGTCAATTATAGCCGAGTCGGCTTTGTCCCCGTCTGCAGCAGGACTAACTCGTTATCTCTGTTTGCAGGATATACCCATTGTCATAGCCGGCAACAAAGCCGATTTGGCCACCAGCCACCGGGAGGTGCGCCAGGAGGAGGTAACGGATTGGGTCTTCTGCGAGCTGCCACGCCTCAGGTAGATATTCACCCTTAATTATCCATTTAAAAATGACAGCCCGAAAATGCTAACGCAAATGTGCTGCAACAGCTGCTGCCGTGGGTGCTGCTGCCGCGACTCCTGCTGCAGCTGCAATTAGGCCAAGCCAATCCAAACCAAAGTTGTGCAATGAAAAACCAAGAGCGGAAAAAGTGACCACGAAAACCGCAAAACATTCATTTGCGATACCCTGCAAGCTCTTAGAGACAGAGAGAGAGAGTCGAGTATGCGGGTGGAAGGCGACTTGTTGAACTTGTTGATATACAGGGTATAAAGTAATGAATATTTAACATGTCTATCAGTTGATCATCTGCATTAAACTCGTAGGACTTGATTTATTATTATCGATCAACTGATAATCGATAAATATCGAATGTAAGAAAGCCTTAAATAACTAGTTTTATAAGTAGTTGAGTTATATAGAAATTCATAATACGTTTATAGGGTATCTGCTCGTCGAATACACACCTAGAACACTTTTTCGATCAACGATCTCCGATATCGCAGTTTTTAAGCGAACCACAGAGTAGTTATGCCGCACTTATAGGGTAACTTGTAGTCTATCATTCACTCGTGCTGCCCTTGCGCCGTAAGTAATGGCCAGCAAGAAGTGCAATAAAAATGTGCTATAAATTTGTTGTTGACCGAAATGAATGTGAGAACCTGCACGAGCAGCAGCTGTCGCAGCGGTCGCTGTCGCCGCAGTCGCTGTCGCAGTCGCAGTCGGCGTCGCCGTTGCTGCTGCAGCCGACAAATGCAATTAAATGCAACAAAATGAAATTAAGCGACAAAAAGCGTGACTCGATGCCATCTGTTTGCCAGCGCTGGCGAGAGTGGGCGGCCGGAAGGCGTGGCAAGTACGAAAAATCAGTTCGCAGCTTGTTAACAGCGCAAAATTGCAATTCACATTGGGCCAATTGGCCGAGGGTAGACAGAAACACACTCTATCTCTCTCACACACACACTGACTGACTGACCCACTGTGCAAGTACAGTAGACACACCCTAATTGCCACCAAGGCTGTCTGTCTCAGTGACCAAAAAGTTGCGAATTGATATTCCCCCACGCCCACAAGGGCGTTCAATGCACTCGACTGCCGGCGCAGGAAACGCGCTTTGCATGCTAAACAGCTGACGCAACGCTAAAAAGTGAGAGCTGCCAGCGAAGGATGCACGCAAATGGCACGAGAAGTGGATGCTTGGCACCACCACGCAGCCCACGCTGCTGTGCTGCAGTGGTGCAGTGGTGCATGACAACATGTAATAGTAGCAATTTGAAGCTATCTTCTACACTTAATTGATGTTCACCATTATTAGAGGCTATTTTGATGGCGCTTTAAAGCAGACTTAACTAGTCGATCTGAATGGGTCTTGTAGATGGTAGATGGTAGTAGTAGGAGTGGGAGTAGTAGTAATAATAATAATAGTATGGGTGGTAGTAGTAAAAGTAGTAGTAATGGTAACAGAAGTATGAGTAGCAGTTGTAGTAGTAGTAGTACTGGTAATGGACGTATGAGTAGTAGTAATGATAAGAGTAGTAGAAGTAATGCTAATAGTAGTATGAGTAGTAGTAATGATAAGAGTAGTAGGAGTAGTAGTAACGATAATAGTAGTAGGAGTAGCAGTAGTAATGATTATAGAAGAATGAGTAGTACTATTTATTATTAGCAGTAGTAAAAATAGTAGTAGAAATGGTAGTAAAAATAGTAGTATTAATAGTAGTAGATATAGTACTAGTAATGGTAATAGAGGTATGAGTAGCAGTTGTAGCAGTAGTAGTACTGGTAATGCAAGTATGAGTAGTAGTAACGATATTAATAGTATGAGTAGTAGTAGTAATGATAATAGAAGAATGAGTAGTAGTAACGATATTAATAGTATGAGTAGTAGTAGTAATGATAATAGAAGAATGAGTAGTACTATTTATTATTAGCAGTAGTAAAAATAGTAGTAGAAATAGTAGTAGTAATAGTAGTAGATATAGTAGTAGTATTGGTATTAGAGGTATGAGTAATAATGTTTATTATTAATGGTAATAAGTAGTAGAAAGAGTAGTAGTATTTTAGTAGTAATTATAGTACTAAGAAAAACCTCCATCGAAGATTATAAGATTTTGAGTTAAGTATAAGCTAGCTTTCTTGCAAATAGAGTATTGACAAGTTTAATGCAATAGCTGTCTCAACTGCGTAAACTGATAAACTAAAGTATCAAGAGAACTTATATCTAATCCTAATTATTGTTTACTCTAGCAGCTTTATGGAACGAAAAGAGTTCAGTAATAACAGATTTCTTTCAAATATTCCATGCTGCACATTTTATACAAACTTAAGATTCGTTAGCCTGACTTACATATCATCTGAAATTGCATGTATGTGATTCCTATCATAATTAAATAAACATGAGCTCTTCTTGGAATTGTAATCGGGTATATGGGCTTCGTAGTGCCCAGTTTTCTGACCTCATCGGATTTCCATTAGCTCATTTGCGAGAATATTATTTTATTCTTTCTTTTTTTGCATTGTACGCCGAACTTTGCTGTTAAAATAAACTTTGCCACTCTTCCGCTCTCGCATGCTCACTCACACACTCACATATACGTATATAGCCATGATTGTGTCCTTAATAAACTGCACGTCCATAAAAATCACTTACAGACGCTTTGGGCTGCGGGGCACGTGGGACAGGTGAGGCGGGTGAATTTGTTTCCTGTTTCTGAGCAATGCGTTGGCCGCACTTGCCATAATTCGCTGTAGGAGGGGGGGAGGGGGACGTGGCGTAGTGTGGCATGACAGCAGGCGGTTTAAGCAAGCGTGTGTAAACTTATTTAAAAAGTAATATCAACACATATAAATAAATATATATATAAATATGTATGTAGAGCATACAGAGGACACGCACGCGAAATACACTCAACGAAAATGGGCGTGTATTTCAATTTTAAAGAGGCTAACTACAAACTAAGATTGATTTAAGAGAAACGAACGTAAAGTCTTAAGTTGGGAAATAGCGAAACAATAAATATTCATATACTTTGGGGACAATATTAAAAAAGTTTGAAATGCATTTATTAATAGATCACTAAACGAAGATTTATTTTTATTTTACTCAAATCGCAATATATACTTTTAAATATTTTATTATGGATATTAAAGCATACATTTTTTAGAAACATAAATAATATGAAATAAATATATATAATAATAATAAAATATAACGAGAATTTTATAAGTAAGATATATGCATATATAAACATACGTTGTATAATATATATTTTAATAATTTAGTTTATATTTTTGATTAATATTTGAGTGTTTATTATTCATAGATTAAAATCTTAGATCATATATTTTCATTCTGAGACATGCAAAGTTGATTAACATGAATGGAGTTGAAATTCAAAGCAGGTTAAAACTAGTGTTGATCCTGATCAAGAATATATCTATATACTGTATTTCGTCATACCAAATCAATATCAATTTGACTTACCCTTGGCTCAGTAGAGAGATTTAGCAGCAGCTTCAGTTCGGTGTTTGATCTATTCTGTTCGGTCGATATTTGTACTTGACCACCAGATAGTACATGAGTACGTAGCTCAGCCCATATATGCTCACGAAGCTGGCGCCCAGAAACAGGCCTATGGCACCTCCGATCGACATGACCAGCTGATCCGTGCTGAAGATAACGCGACGCTTGATGCCCATCTTGGGCAGAGTCTGGATCACGGTATAGCTGCGATTTACGCCAAAAAGGCTGGCCTACTTGGAGATCGAGTAAATGTGGCAGATGCGGACAGATGAAAGGCCTACCTCGTCATTCTTGAGAGTTTCGGAGATGGAAAAGCTGATCTCCTTGCAGAGGGGCATGCAATCGCAGGGCTGCTCCAGCCACTTCTTGCGCGCCAGGCACACCATTTGCCTCACAGTGCAAATGCTGTGCTTCGGCCCTGCCACATAGAAGAAGGGCTTGCAGTTGCAGAGGGCCAGGGCTCGATCGATGCGGCACTCCATGCGACACAGGCTGGGATAATACACCTGCAATGGCTCAGTCAATTTTATGCACAGCTCAAGTTGCCCTTGCACCCACACTATAGTACTTCAGATTGTTCTCGTCGGTGTAGCGACAGCGGCGATAGGCGACAGGCACATTGCGCACGCTGTCCTCGGCTGAGAGGGAGTTGAGCATCACCCTGAAGCCCTGAATATCCTTGTCCCCCAACTCGATGCTCAAAGTGCGACGATCGTGCGGCATCAAGAACTCATTCACATCGTGGATAAACTAGACATGTACAAACATGCACACAGATAAAAGAGTTCCAGGAGTAAGGAGTGTGCGAGCTAGAGAGAATTTCGAGCTCAATGGAATCGGCCACTTACCAGTTTCATCCGTAGATCGGGCAGTACGGCCTTGACGAACATGTTACAATCATGGAAGTAGTTGCATATACGAATGGGATCTGTGTAGTTTTGGCTAGTATAGATAACAGATAACAGAGAATAAACAATATATAGTACATATTAGATATCACCCACTTAAGCTGTTTGTCAAATGGAAATCCGAAGTTCGCCCGCTGACTCGACGTCCGACAGAGACCCATTTCAGTCAGGCTGTTCACCAGCTTGGGTCGGCGCCTGAGTCGCGGCGGCAACAGCTCGAAGAGCATCGCGACCAGCGGCAACTTCTGCATGCTCGTGTCGTTCTCATAGGGCATCAGTGTGTGCAAATTGTCGTACTGCAGCGCATTCAACACATGCAGGAATTTGACATAGTATTGCAGCTTCTCTGCCGACACTTCGATCTCGTTGGAGTCGGAGTCCTCGCTGCTCCAGGTGCTGTCGGTCAGCTGCAATATTATTTCCGTACTCCCTCTTTGGGCCTAGGCCAAGGCATACTCACTCCTCAATCAGTTTGCTTAATATATTGGCTGGCAGCTCGTTGTAATGCGAGCAGAACGTGATCCCCACGAAGGGAAAGGAGCGCAGCGCAAACAGATACTCGTATTCGTATATGACCGGACTATCCCTGTACCGCTGCCACTGGGTGAGGCAGCTGCTGATTCCACTGTAGGCGGTTGCGATGATCATGGCCACCCAGAAGATGCGCTCCAGAAAGTGAAGGTCCTTGCGCGCCAGATACGGCATGCCGTGTATGGCCGATTCCTTGCACACCTCCATCCACCAATCGATCGCCTCAGCCTGCTCCTGCTGCTGCTGCTGCTCCTGCTCTTGGTCGTGGTCCGCCAGCACAGCTAACTTCAAGTCCATTTACATCTCTGCATCCTGCCTATTGATGTCCTTGCGTTGGCTTGTCATGATGCACTGCATGTCCTGGCATAGTTCATACGGCTTTTAAATAGTGTCGACTACTGTCGAAATTGATGCGCTCTGCCAGCAGAGGACTCCTCCCAGGTCAGCAGGATAGCCTCTAATGGCATTTCGCTGTTTGCCTTGCGACATGCATATTCAATTTAATTAAATTAAACACAAATTTATTTGAAACATATAATTAAAATACGTTTCATTTGGGGCTCAGCTTTCAGTTAGATTGATATAATTACTGAACAAGCTGGAGCAGCTGTTAGCATTGGAGTAGCCGAGTAGGAGATATGCTCATCCCCATCCATCATGTTGTAGACATCGGAATGCTAGAGTGGAAGATATACCTAACCCCACTCAGATCATTCCTTGCATCAATTCTTAAGCTCATCAAAACTGAACTGGCGTACAAATAACTTGTTTACTTTTACTTGGGCATGTCGCATTTCTTTCAGTGCAGATTTACACATACATAAATATGCAAATACATACAAGGCTTTCAGTTGGCTTAAACATTTAAGCAGATTGATGGAGCAGCTGTAACGCACCTTGAACTTTTTGCCTTTGCTGATTTTGTTGCTACTCTTAATGCAGTTATTGCTGTTGTTGTTGCTGCTGCTGCTGCTGTTGCTGCTGTTGCTACGTTGCTGTTGCTGCTGCTGCTGCTGTTGCTACGTTGCTATCATTGTGTTGACTACTTCTGTTGCTGCTGCAGATGTTGTTGCTGTTGTTGTTCTTACGTCTATTGTTGCTGTTGCGACTGTTGCAGCTAGTGTTGCTACTGCCGCTTGCTACAGCTGCAACTGTTGCTGCTGTTACTACTGTTGCTTCTCCTAACTATTCCAATTCTAAGTATTGCTGCTGTTGCAGCTGCCGTTGCTTCTGCTGCTGCTTTTGTTGCTCCTGTTCCTGTTACTGTTACTGTCCTTGCTACTGTTGCTCTACCTGCTGCAACCTACGCAGGTGCTACTGCTGCTGCTTTTGTTGCTGTTGCCATGGTTGCTGGTTGGTTTTTCGACCTTGCTGCCAGTGCGCATCACAAATTTGCACGTCAACTGCCAACATTTTTTTGTTGTTTTTTATTTCGTTCGTTTTTTGTTCCGTTCAGTTGAAGTCTCTGCGGCTCTCTCTATCTCTCTCTCCCTCTCTCTCTCCCCCTGTCTGTTCGTGGCTCTTTGGCGTGATGAAGGGCATGTTGCATGTTGCATGACGGCTGCAGCGTTGCAATTTGCTGCTGCGTGTCTGTCTGCGGTTAAGCGCACTCACCTGCCACACACGCGCGCATTTATCTCTCCTCCCGCAGCATTTGCAATTGCATAAGTAGATTATTTTCCCCAAAGAAACCAAGAGCGAAAAAAACACAACAGAAAATAAAAACGTTTTTCCACCTCGCCACATGTGAAACTTGCACAATTCATTAAAGTAAACTCGGTTTGATTTACTGTTGCTGCCTTAACAATTCATTCAGCGAGTGCCCAGGGCAGAAGCTGCAGAGAGGGGAGTAGTAGGGCATGATGAGGACTCGGCTACTATTGAGGAAATCTCTATTCGAATTTCCCGACAGTCATTCCAATTACCAGAGCAAGCCAGCTAGCAGACATGTTTGTTTATTTTTTAGCCAGCTCATCTTGAAATTTAACTTTTATAATTATAAAAGTTACACATAAATCATTAGCTCAGTTCAGTCACATCTTAGCTATTAGCAAAATAAAAACACAATTAATATTCCTAGTAGAAGTTCTCGGCAATCATGCAACATACTCTATAGTTTCCTTGCCCTACACAGAGGAGTAAATGCTTACACCTCCTACTTATGTTACATACATTTTCATAAAATGTATATACCCCTCCATACCCCTTGTTCATTGGGGCTTAAGGTGTAAACAAAATTGCTTCAATTCACTAAAGAGTCGCACAAGAAAATCCCAGCCACCTCAGCTATGTTTGTCTGCCTCTCCCTCTGTCTCTCCCTCACTCCCACTCTCTCTCTCTCTCTGTTGTCGGCTTTGGCTGCTGTTGACAGCTTCTCCCTGCAATTGAGCAGCTCGCCTAGCTTCTGTCCACACAGCGCTGGCTAAATTCGTGATACGACTAATTTAGCCATTTAAGCGCCGTTTGCCGTTCGCCGCTTTCCGTTTGCCGTTGGCAGTCTTTCTTTTCCCGCCGAATTTCCCGCCAGTGCCCATTTTGCAGCTGTCGTCGCGTGCTTTATCCGTAAACGCTGCCAGCTTTGTTGAAAGTGATGTGAACGCGTGTGTCTGCCCGAAGCATGTGGTGGATTGAACATTATTGTTGCACTGCTGTCTGCTGTTTGCTGTCGATACCCTGTAGTTGCGCCACTGCAAGTTGGGTATGTCGTTCATTTGCCATAAATGAAATTCCATTGCCCTGTAATCATAAGTTGAATGACTTTGCCGTGCTGCAGTTGTCATTCATCGCCTCTCATTACAGGGTATCCATCTGTCGAATAACATTTCCCTTGTAGCTTAAGCTCAACTCGGAGCGAGCATTGTGACTCTTTTTAGCCCAGTCATGTAAATGTGGTCACCACATCGTGCTGATGCACCCACATTACGTATACGCTGCGTATACGTGACGTTTAAGAAATCTATGCAAGCCGCCCGAAACTTTGGTCAGAGGAGTGAGTTTAAACGTTCGTTTCCATTTTTTGTTGCAGGGCTAAGGTGCTCGAGTGCTCGGCGAAGGAGGACACCAACGTGACGGAGCTGTTCAAGACGCTGCTCTCCCTCTCCCGCTTCCTGCCAGCCAGCAGCGGCAGCAGCGGCGGCCCGGGCGGCTCCAGCTGCGAGGCAGCGCCAAGCGGCTTCAAGCGGCGCTCCTCGGCCTACGTCAGCGCCTCGTCCAGTCGCAGTGAGTAGAACAAAAAAACAAAAACAGAAGCAAAGAGAGAGAGAGAGAGAGAGAGAGCGAAAAGAATTTATGAATTTCACAGAAAACACGAAACAAAATTGTGGAAATTGTTTTGCTGCAGCCGAAAATGGGAGGGGGAGGGGGAAAACGTGGAAACTGCTGCAACTTTTGGCAGCCGGTAACTGCCAAGCGGAAATAATTTCAAGTTGACAGAATGCCTCGCCTTTGTCGGCCAGCAGCAGCAAATATCAATTTGCCATTTCGATGGCCAACGCGCTGCAGCTCTGGCCAAAACATTCCCGCTCTCTGCCTTTCGTTAAGCTGGCCAACAATTAAAGCCTTAAAGCGATTGCCCGCAAGCGAAATTAAAATACGATCTGCCGATTACCTTGGCCAATAATTGAAAATAATACCAGCTGAAAAAAAATGCCCAGCAAAATAAAAAGTTATCGACTGCCTAATACTCGCCTAAAGGTCAGGTCCCTATGAGGGTGCTTCTATTGCACCACATATGGTGTTTCCCAATTTGTGGGCGTGGCTTTCTAGGCAGGGGATACCAAAGAGCGAGTCTCTAACTGCATTAGCTTAGCCTGTATACAGACAGCCGAATAGACTCTTTTTCAATCATGAACGAGCATGCACATAAAACGATTTAAGGCATAAGCTCATTAATAATAACAGCGGCAGCATGTTCACATATAAATATATACGCATATGTATGTATATATATATGAATATTTGGGCTTTAATCTATATAATTATAATTTACGTATCGAACCTGCACTCTGCATAATAATCTTAAATCAGCTGAAATTTACAAATAGAGTTTATTATGGTTTATATATATGTAATTGCATACATGTACTATCTATATAGATATTGTATTCCCATAATATGGATTAGTATCAATTTCGAGTGCTTTAAGAATAGCTCGAGAAATTTCAATTACGTATTATAGTTGCCCAATAATTGGAAATTTATTTACTTTTTTCCCACTATACGAGCAAAATATCGAATAACAAAAAAGTTTGCTAGAATGATTATCCATTTTCAATGGACTCAGGGTATAAAAAGGATAATCGTGTTTAAATGTAATGAAAAGTTTAGAGCATAACCTGAAGACTTGAAGTGCGAGTAGTACGAATTTAGTTCTGAGGGTTGAGAATATATAGAGCAAATATGGCTATGGTACTCAAAAGGCAGCAAACTGCAGAGGAGGCTCAAAGGCTATAAGAGCCACAGCAAATTGGCCACTTCAAATATCAAGAATCAAACGTAAATTACACAGAAAGTGTCCGTAGCTCAACTTAGTGAACCCACTGTATCACCCGTTAGACCCATTTCTAGCACTCCTGCTCTTCCGATTGCCTAAGCAGAGCCGGTTGGCATTTGACGAACACCTGCTACAACTGACTTGGTGGCCTCAGAAATCAACAGCTAATTAGCCAGGGTCTCGAGTTTTCGCGCAGTGTAGACGCCGCATTGACAAATTGTCGACAATTTGGCTAATTGAGTGTAATTAACATTGCTTCGCCTGCGTCTGTGTTTGACCCAAATTAATTGTTAAAATTTTGCCAAAGCACATAAAAAGACGAACGTGAAATACAACTGCGCAACGAATACAAAAAATGAATGGAAAAGGATGACAGGACAACGAGTCCTAACGGCAGGACAAACCCCTTGTTAGTCAATTATTTATATATATCGTGCGGGCAGGCAATAGACTGAAGAAACTGAGGTCTGCGGCAAATAATAAGAAGTATGAACGTTACGTTGGGAGTGCCCGACTAGTAGACACCCTGCAAGGCAAACTATCGAGTTTCGTTAAGCAGAAAATGGGTTAAGTTATCGAAAAATCGATAGGCTGTGTTGGGTATTCAGGAATACACATTTAAAATTTTCATTCTTTAGATGTTTTATGCAAGGACAGATGGACAGTTGAGCGATCGTATGGACAGACTGATACAAACATGGCTCGTCTCAATTAATAATAGATATATACTTAATGGGCTCTACCACTCCTCCCTCTGCCTGTCATATACAATTTTGCTAAACTAATATACCCTATAAATTTATAATAATTCGATATGAAAAGTGAACAAATTTAGAAATTCTGTAAGCCTTCGCTGTTAGTGTGCTAGGTTAAATAATATATTTATATATACATACTGTATATCCTATATCCTTTATATATTATTTTATTACTTTTAAGAGTTTCCTCTTCGCCACATGGTTTCCCTTGAACAATGCCCAGCTACCATTGAAGTCTGAAACTTTTTGAGCCAATTAATCAACTCATCTTAAAAAAAAAAAAAAAAAAAAAAACAGTGCAGCTCAAAAGTTGAGCCTGAGCTCGTATTAATTATGCAAATACCTTTACCTGCTAATTAGACGCCAAAGTATTTAATTTCCATTGACCAGACACATTAGCCCATGCAACAAAAAAATGAAAACTGCCTCTCAGCTATCACTCTAGCTCCCGCTCTCTCTCCCCCTCTCTCTCTCTACCTATCTTTTCTCTTTCTCCTTGTCAAGAAGTTTTCCATATTTTTGGCTCTCTCTCTCTCTTTGCTTCTTCTCGCTGCTCTGCGCTGCTTGTTACCAATATAAATAAACAGTTAATTAATGTTGGCCACGCGCTGTTGCCTGCTCTCGAAATAATGAATATAATTTCCGTGTTGGCACAGCCACGCCCACCGTCACCAACAATAACAACAACAACAACAACTGTCCCTTTCAGCTACTGTTCGACATTAATTTAATTGTCTGCTGGCGGCATTTGATAAAATTTTTAGTTATTTAGCCCCAACGACCCAACGCAAAAGTCATTTGAATCAAGTGCAAAGTTGGCTCCCAGCCACAAATGAATTCCGAAATTAAATGCAATTTAGAGCTTTAATTTGTGTACCTACGCATGTGTGTCTATTTGTAAACGCGTGTGTGTGTGAGCTGTTACACAAATTGTATTTGCCTTGCACACACACACACACATTCACTCGCTTGCATATTAAATGGGAGCCACAAAATTTGTAAATTATTTTGTATTGTCCAAGCAGACAAGGAGAACTGTCGTTGACAGCACAACAAACAATGTATGAGAGTGCGTGGGTGTGTGTGTGGGTGGGTGGGGGTGTGTATGTGAATAGTGAAGGTCAAATGTCAAATAGCGACCAACACTAGCGACAGCTCAATTCACAAAAGAAACGTTTGCATCGATGGCACTAAACATATTTTGGCCTGCCTCTCACCCTCCCTCTCGCTCTATCTCTGTCTCACTCGCACTCTCCCACTCCTCGTTCAGAAATCTAAAGGTAAAGCAAATCTAGTCCTAGTCTGAGCAGTTAATCACGCGAATTGAGGCCAAGACAGCGACGCAAAAGAAATTTAGAGCAACACATCGGAAAACCTGAGGCCGGGTATGCACGACAGCTCCATACGCTGTATAGCTATAAATATTTGTATATAAAAAGAACTATCAAAAATCAAACATGGATTATTATCGATAACACAAGATGATGTGTTGCTTCATAAATAAATCTCCTTAAATCTTCTTCACATTGAAGCACGAACAGAACTATTAGAATGTAGATTATAATAAGTAGTGTACTACTACTAATACTCCACTCTGTAGCTAAGTACATATGTAAACTTAAGTGTGTATAAACAAAACCAATATGCCCGTTTCAACCAGACTACGAACACTAATAAGGAATATTGCATACTTGGGCAAAGCTCGACGTTTCCAAAGAGACTGCATGTTCCGCAAAATCAATATACCCATCCCATATTCAATGTGTAAGGCACAATATATAATAACCTTTAAAAATTGACTAGATTAGGGCCTCTGCATAAATAATAGAAATGAAATGTCTCTATAGGTACTACACTAACCAATATGCCCGCTTCACCTCAACTGTGAACAGCGCATAACATGTAATTACCTTTACAAATTGCGCGAGCATATACCCGTTTCACCTCAGCTGCGTAGAGTATATCTAAGACTGCCCTAGGCTGTGGCATGCACAGCGATAATCTAAGCTCGAAGTAACTATAGGTACTGTAGCCATAGATAATCCAAGTAACTAATATGCCCGTTTCACACCGACTGCCTGTGGTATAACATGTAATTGCCTTAAAAAGCCACGCACACAATGTGGCATATGCAAAAAGCAAAACAAAAACGTAAATCGTTCGTATTTAGCTTGAAGGTGTGCGTAAGAGAGAGAGAGAGAGAGAGAGAAAGTATGTGTGTGTGTGTGTGCGACAGCTCAATAGCCTAAGCACGTGCCCATGTGTATGTAGTGTGTGTGTGTGTGTGTGGGGGGGGGGTGGTGATGGGGCATAAAAAATGGGCGAGCGCGCGTAGGCCGAGCGTCTGGCTGAGCTGCACCTGATTTGTCTAGCCCAAGGAAAAGGCGCACCCACGTCTGCCACGCCCCCAAAAGCTGCCGCCACAAGCACGCACACACACACACACAGCAATAGGCATAGGCGGCAAATGTAATGTGGCTTCGCGGTTGCTCTGGTGGGGCTGGTGGTGCGGAGCGCAGCGAAGCGAACCGCAAGCAGTTTTATTTGCAAGCAGCCGACTGTAACCGTAACTCAATTGAAACTTTTACAAATGCGCCTTTAGAACGCAGCATGCCGCATGCCGTATGCCACATGCCACATGCCGTATGCCACATGCCACACGCCACATGCCAGTTGAAGCTCGCATTTGTTACTCGCCTAGGCCAAATCTAATTTAACAACAACAACAACAACAGCAAAATCTGTGCAACACGTTTGCCGCTGCTTGTTGTTAATATGAACGAATAGACGCAGCTGGAATACCCTTTCCTATATAAGGGAAAATGAAAAGAGGGAGAAGACTTACAATACTTGGAATGCTGGCATTTTCATAAATTGTGAGCGGAATTTTCAATGAAATTTCTAAGTCAGCTTCCAGCTACAGCAATATAAGTTGTGAAAATTCTTCCTACATATTATATTTCGTCATTGCGAAGTAATTTTCCAGCTAAATTATCATTTGTAGCGCTTTACAACCCCAAACGGCTCAAGCTGCACATTGATCACCAATCACTCAGTCAGTCCTCAATCAGTTCCCTCGTTAATCAGTCAATCAATCATTTCTAAATGTAACATTAGCAGATTTTAGTAAGATTATTATTCAGTAAATCAATCAATCATTGTTCTGGTATCACATAATCATACATTCAAGGCCAGTCAAACAATCAATCAGTCAATCAATTTTATATTCTAACTGCCTAGCTACTGTGCTTAACTAGCATTTCGATCAACAATTTATCGGTTTGTAGGGGTAATAACTTCAACTGTTACCCATCAATCAATCAATCAATCCATATATAATCCATATATAAAGTCAGTTTTATTTATACACCTGTTAGACACTCATCAACATAGTTTAGTTAGAGCTAAAGCGGGAAATTCTGCCAGCTCGAACTGTTACATCCATCAGTCAATCAGTCAGTCAATCAGCTTTATGCAACGCGCCAATCGAGCAACCCTTTCGTCCCGCTGGTGCAAATAAAAATGTTATTTGCCTTTCTGTTTGTCGCATGCCCAAAATAGAGGCAGCCACACAAGCGGAATGCTACAGAGTCAGCGAATCAGAATTATATATGTATGTATATGTATGTATAGCGCATATTTGTAGAGCGGCACTGAAATGTGGAACTTGATACTGCTGCCCAAAATATGCGCGCATATTCCATCTATGCAGATGCGAATGGATGCGAGTGCCTGACAATTCGCGATGCTCCATGCCGTGGCAAATTGCGCGAATGGGGCTTACAGCTGTGCATTTGTGGTATGGCCACAGTGTAATAAGCCAAAAGGACAGCAAACAAATACCCACACACACACACGCATTCATGCACACACTCACGCACACTCACACACACATGTATATGGAGAGTATTTGGTGCACAGCAGGCGGCTCGATTTTCGCGCTTTTTTGTGTCGCCGACAACAATGGCGACAGCCGCCATTTTGTTTGCATTTGACACTACGCACACACACACATACAGTCACTCACACACACACACATACGCGGACACACTGGGGCATACTCATGCATATTTTATTTTGAAGGATTCCCTTGGGGTCTGGCTCTAGCACCCTTTGAGACGCATTAACTAAATTTAGTCTCTTCAAAGATTTTCACTGGGGCCAAAAACCTCTTCTTCTTCTCCTTCTTTTCCTCCTTCATCTTCTTTAAACTGTTTAATTTCACATTTGCAATTTGCAATTTGAAATTTTCCAGCAGTTTTTCTAGCACATAAATCATCATTAAGCTTCAGATTTCAGCAACGCTTTAAATCCATCAAAATCAGTTAATCAATATGCGCAACGGCTAATCAAATCATTGATGTGAGCCCTCTTGGGACTTACATTTTTCCAAGAATTTCTGTGCGAGCTGCAAACTTGAAAAGGTTCCTCTTTAAGTGTTCCGAATAATAAGGGGTATATACGCACTAGAGAAGCACGCAGACAACTTGGAAGAGCTAGTGCAGTTAGGGGTAGAGAATATAATAAGATTGTAGATAAAATATAAAAAAATACAGAAATTGTAATATATGTATATGTATATACACATATTTAATTAATTCTATATACATGATGATCTACAAAACTTTTCATAGAAACATCTGATTGTTATAGGCAGTTTATATGGAGAAGCACATTGCTTGAATTCAACCCCTATATCATATAGCTGCCATACCAAATGTCTTCTTAAGAATCATTATTATTGCTAAGGCACTGCTAGGAGACGCCTACTTCTTATACCTAGTTGAATGGAACATCTAAATCAAGTAGAGTGTACCAGTCCACCACAGACTCCTCTTCAACTGAATCATTAGCATAGGGTATTTGAGGCGGAGTGCTCTCTCATTCATTAGCTTTGGCTCCGGCTTTGGTATCACGTGATTGCAGCTGATTTGAGTTATGCTTTGCGCAGGCAACGTCGCGACGTCGAGGCTGAGCACATATCGAGCTTCAGTTGCAGACAATTATCAATTTCCATGATTTCAGCTGCGGCAGTGCTTTGATGGCGGTACTCATAAGTTAATTATGTTGCATGCAACAGAGCGGCACAAAGCCGCGCGAAAGGTGGGCGAAGTTGGCCAGGCGAATGAGGTCAATGCGTGGGGCTTGGCATTGTTGCAACTTGCAATTGCCACAGCAACTCGCAGCTCGCAACTGCTGCTGCTCCACAATTGGGCAGAGGGCCACAAAAATGGTCGAGAGCCAACTGAAAATTGGATTTTCGCATTTATTCGGTTGCACGTGCAACGCCCGTGTGGCACACGCATGCTTATTTATAATTGATACACAGATATACAGCCTATCCATATATGTATGTATATATATATTTATTTACATCCATATATATTGTCTCCTTTACAGACAAGAACCGCATGAACAGCCCCTCGGTCAGCGGAGATAAGAAGTCGAGCCTTGTGGATGCCGTCGATGTGGCCAGCACCAGTGCGGAGGCTAAGCTAAAGCCACGTTCCAGGTGCGTAAAAACACTGGGAGAAAAAGTATAGCAACTAGAGAGTAGCTCGAAAAAGAACTAGAGAATCTTGAACTCTAACTGACTTAGAGTTAGATTTAGATCTTACTCCATTTCTTGGTATATCGGAAAAAGCTATGGCATTTGAGACTTGCATTTAGTAGCACATATTTTCTCCAAGTGTATGCAATTGGCAGCTGCAATGATTCACAATTATGTCTAAAATAAATCGTTTTTATTAAATCTATTTCCGTAGATACCTTAGATACCCATTACTGTACTAAAATCGAGTTTAATGATTAATTTTGCCATTATTTAGTAACACTCTAATTTCTCTCTAATTATTCTATATATTTATATTAGATCGCTCATACGCCGTGCTTCACGCAAGACCAAACAGCAAATCAACAACGCATCCGACGACTGTAATTTGCAGTAAATGAATACAAAATAAATATTCATAATAATTATGATAATAAATGTTAAATTTGAATCTATGTGTACGTTATCCAGTTCTTGATTAACTGCAAATACTTTAAAGACAAAACCAAAAAGTTGCTCAAGCGCAATTCAGTTGCATTTGCTAAGAGTATCTCGTAGTCTATACTATACTACACTTTTAGTAAGGCGGTCCAAGAAGTAAACCTCTTCAAGTTTTATGAATTCCATTTGAAATCTTATCAATATTTTTTATGCTCGTTATTTAAAGGGGACCACTTTTATTTCAAATCATTTTTTACATCCAACTTATTGAGAGAGAGAGAGAGCGGGAGAGAGGGAGAGAGAGAGAGAGAGAGGGTGAGAGGGAAGGAGAGAGAAAGTAATAACAATTGACAGCTCAAAGTGTCAGAGAAAATGGATATGCAGAAGTTGGTTACCAAAATATGGCATAGGATCATAATAGAATGCCATAATGAAGTGTATATAGCTCGATTTGAATGTATGCCACAGGAAAGGGTATAGAGAATTACTAGAACTAGACTGGAGAGGGTATTACTATAACTGAAGCTAGAAAGCGTACACAGAGTCCATCATACCAACAACTGATAAGAAAGAGCTTTATCAAGACTCCCCATTATCCTCTAGAAAAGAGTAGACAAGAGTAAAGGGTATTTAAAACCTTCGTTTGCTCTGCAATTTATTATAGGTGAGCCTAACCAAAATTAGTTATATTTTGTTAAACTAATGGAAGAAAGCGTAGACAAAAATTTATTTTTATGATTTATCAACAATTTAGCTAGAAAAATCGTTTGGTATTTTGTAAAGGTTATGCGACAATTATAGAGAGTTCCTTTGATATAGAAGAGAATGATACGTAGAGTATATATATGATACATATATATTTGAAATTGTTCTAGTCTTAAGTTAGCTTAAGTAGGTGTGGTTTAGCAACAATTCAAATACAATGTATTCAAATGTTTAAACTAATTGTTTTTGGCTACAAATCTGTGTATTTTAAATACATACAAATATACTATATATACGTATAGTGTATGTATATATATAGAAATATATTCCAAATCTCGTAGGATTTGTTTAATGCTCAAAAAGCAAAAATCTGACCTTGTTTTTGAAAGCAAAAGGAAAACTGTTTGCTCGATTTCCCCAAGTATTTTTCCCTCTACTATGCAAAACGCGCTGCTAATTAACGTTTCGAGCTTTGTGTGTGTATGTGAAAGAGTGTGTAAGTGAGTGTGTTTGTGTGTGTGAGCGAGTCGTATATATAAATATGCAGCGCATTGTATAATGCGATTTAACTCGAGATTTTTATGTTAAGAACGAAAAACAAAACTTAAATAAAATTAAAATAAAATATATAAAAAATGTATAAACAGTAAACACATTGCTGTCAGGCGTAGCCGACTGCGAAATACTCTTTCACAGCTAAGTTCGATTGATACATCAATTCCAATACAAAAATTTATTATAGAGGAATTTCAGAATTGAAACTATGGAAGAAATTGATGAATCTTAAGTCCCATATTGAGCAAGTCAAATCAGAGCAGAGGACAAACTGTGAACGAGCATACAGAAATAAAACATAAATAAAATTCTATTCAAGGATAATACAGGGTGCACGATAATTGCCAAAAAAAAAAAAAAAAAAAATTAATTAAAAAAATAATAATAAAGAAGAATAAATTAAGAGCCAATCAAACAGAGGGGAGAATTTTGTATGTATTAATTAACAGAGCATTAGCTGTTAACTAAGTCAAATTTGAAACTAATAATTAATCTAATATATTTTGTTTTAAATTTAATAAAAAATTAAAATTTTCTTTGTTAAAAAGTTGCACAAGTGAAAAATCAACCAGAGGCAGATGCAAAGTGAATTGTGATGAAATATTAAAAAACAAAAACATATATACAATATATACATACGTATAGGAATCTCTATATATATGTGTATAGGTATGTATGTATGGATTGGTTTGACGTCCAAGTTAAATTATATTCTTAGGCTTAAGGCATGTCTAGAAGATAAGCAAATTGTTTACACAAATTGTTACTAAATGTAGTTAAATGTAGTTAAAGTCGGAGGAGGCGATTAACTAACTAATCTAATCTAAGCTATATATCAGGCAAACGGGGAACACAACTAAAGGCGAGCAGCATTTGAGAGTTATACGACTATATATATAGATATATAGTAATTGTTTCTTTGTCGGTTGAAAAAGTTTATATATCAGAATATAAATCAAGCCATAGATTTTGTTAAAAAAAACATAAACTGAAATCAAAAATTTAAAAATACGTTTAAAAGTATACATAGGTATGTATATACATATATAATTGTGTACGTAATTCAAATTGTTCATAATGAAAAACAAAATCAAAAACTAGAAGAAGAAAACTCAATAACATCAAAAACGATTTATTCATTAATATCTTCTCTACAAATGAAATGTAATTAATTTTTCAAATATCAACAGAAACCAAATAAAAGAACTTACTAAATGTGTCCATTTAACTACAGAACTGAAATGTCTTTTAAATTCTCCGATGACTTTTGCAGTCAATGCGAAAATCCAATATACTCTACTTACACGCATGTACAGTTGAAGAGTTAGCCAAGACCTTTGCTTTTCGAGGCAAGTCAAGCTGGCTATCAACTGCAGTTATGGCCAATTATCGCATATTCGACTAATTATGTTTGAATTTCAATTAAATTTAGTGATGTGCATTAGTTGTCATTAAAAGCAAGCGGCCACAGCAGGGCTGACATTGTAGGCTTCGACCCGCAATATGGTATATTAATAACGGCTGGCTGCATCACATTATAAATTACCTTTGCATTATGTTTAGTTGGAAATTTGCCCTCGCATCAATTGCTGACTCTAAATCAATTAAATTAGTCTCCACGCTGCCAACGCTTCGTCCTATTGCCGACCGCAATATCCATTAAAGGCAGCTAATGGAATTTTATTCAAATAATAAATTGCATTTACAGTTAAATGGGGAACGCACTGTAAATGTAAATGTAAATGTAAATTGTAAATTGTAAATGCCACTGCATTAAAATCAATTGAACTTTGAATACCCAAAATGGGTAGCTAAGCGCGAGTGCCAAAAGCTGTGATTTATTTGCCATACACGAGCATGGGCACATGGCATGCGAAATTGGCAGATGTGACGCCAGGCACGCACGCTGTATCTCCATGTATGCATATACACTTATAATATAGACCTGATTTGTTTGTGTGCTGTGCTGCCATACAATAAACAGCTTTGCCTGCGACCCAATTAGTCGAAATTATGCACAATTTCAAATGCAATTTTCTGTGGCATTGATTTTGCAGTTTAGCAGATTTAATGGTAAAATTGGTTGAAATTCTTAGAAATTAGGGCACTCTTACTTGCCAAAACATATTGAAAACGTTCAGAGCGGCGCTTTTAAGAACTAAATTTTAAATAATAACCGTCAGGAGCAGCACTTTAGCCATCTAGCAGTATTTTGGTGTACTAGTCAAACTAGTCAAATACCGACCAACAAGCCATCTATCCACAGTTTGCTGCACTACAATGCTACGTATACAAATACGATTCAAAGAAGCTGACTGCTATGTAACCGCATAGCTAACAGGTGCGACATCTAGCGGCCGTTAGCTGCATTATTATGTTATGCACGCAGCGGAACTATTAAATAACATTCAATGAGCGCTTTGGAGCGCTCCCTGTTGCCAATTTGTTGAACTACTAGATGCAAGCAGCTGATTGTGGCTGACCGGCTTATGGCATTTTTTAGTACATTTAAATGCGTATAAATACATATTTGAGGATGGCCCTAAAATATATTGGTAAATACAAGGGAATTGTAATATATTTAAATAGCTAATGAGTTGCTTGCAGATATTGGTGCTAATCTAACGGATTCCATGTATCAAGGCTGCTATGGCGGCTCTACTAAACATCCAGCGGACTTGGATATTGTATTAGAACGCGCGTGGCAAAATGGACTACAAAAGATAATTATAACTTCTGGCTGCGTTAAAGATGTGGATGAATCACTGGAGCTAGCTGCCAAGGACGGTTAGTTAACTAAGAGAGAATGTGTAAAACTAATTTATAACCCTGTTTACCTGCAGAACGCCTGTACACAACCGTCGGTGCCCATCCCACTCGCTGCGGCGAATTCCTATCCGATCCGGCGAAATACTATAACGATTTACGTTCGCGAATCAAGGCGAACTCGGAGAAGGTAATTGCTGTGGGTGAATGTGGCTTGGACTATGATCGACTGCACTTCTGTGAAAAGGAAACACAGTTGGAGTACTTTGAGAAACAGCTCACTTTGGCAGAGGAATTCCAATTGCCACTCTTTCTGCATATGAGAAATGCTCACGAGGATTTCATGAAGATTCTCGAGCGTAATCGTGACAAGATCGAGGCCTGTGGCGGCGGAGTTGTGCACAGCTTTACAGGCACATTAGAGGAGGCGAAGAGTCTGTTAGACTTTGGTGGTCTGTATATTGGACTGAATGGCTGCTCTTTGAAGACCAAGGAGAATCTGGAGGTAGTGCAGCAACTGCCTAATGAGCGGATTATGCTGGAAACAGATTGCCCCTGGTGTGGCATACGACCCACCCATGCGGGCCATCAGCATGTGACCACCAAATTTCCTACAGTCAAGAAGAAGGAGAAATGGACTAAAGATGCCTTGATTGATGGTCGCAGCGAGCCATGTCAGATTAGGTGAGTATGCTTTGTGGATCAAAGTTATGTTAATCTTAGCTATCTTTCTGTATTTTAGTCAAGTTCTGGAGGTCATAGCAAGCATCAAACAGCAGCCCAAGGAGCAGCTCGCAGAGATCTACTATCAAAATACACTAGATTTGTTTTTCAAAAGATCCAAATAAATAATATTGTAAAATTAAAATTTCATATGTAGACGTTGATCGATGATAGCTACAACTTATGTCACATGAATAGAGAATACGCTTATATATACAAGACTGTCACTTATGTTGAGCTTCGTGTAGTTATTTCGTTCAGTTGTTCTACGCTGGGGTTTTACTGGTCGATTTGTTTTCTATATTTGTCATATCCAAAAATAAATCCATTTCTAAATTGTTTACATTTAATGCTTTTACATTTATTGTATTATATTATTGTTGCTCATGTCCTAAATGCAAATGAATTCAAAAATACGCATTACAACTCGATCCGTGTCAAATTGTATATATATGAACTTTTTGTAATTATCTGTTCTTTTTAGCTGACACAGAAACACATTTAGATTAACATTTAGATTCTTTCGTCTTTTGTAAATAATTGTTATTTAATTAACTTCTTTTATATTTGTCCATTGAGTAGAGATGATTTGCCAAAAAATATATAGTATATAGTATATATATATAGATATATGTATGTTGCCCCAATTTTAAAGACTAGTGAAGTTTTGTAGCTTAGTTATTGCCCTCTCTTTTGGTTAAGATAGATCATTTATATAATAGATATATCGATATAGTGACGATTACATTATTTAGAAGCCTTAAAAAGCGTATATACAAAATATTTTGTAAATATTTTAAAAAAGTCTGTTAACTAGCCATAGAACATTTTCAAGTATCAGATAATGTGGATTAGAGCTTTCCCAAATTGTATATAGTAAATGCTATCAACAAGTTGTTTCACTATATAAGCATTAAAAACCCAAATATTTTCTCTTTATAAAATGTGCTTTAAAATTTTGTTTACAGATCTATTTCTTGTAACTGATATGAAGTCAAATGATATATAGCATATAGATGTATATGACAGATTTATAGTTTACTCAGTTGCATTTTAAATGACAATTCAAGATTCAGTCCAATAGAAATACATATAGCTCAATGCTCAATTGATATGAATCCATATATATATCTAGCATATAAGATTCCACGTTAATGTTACGTCAGCTGGGACTTTAAAAACTCTATATATATTATCTATATATGTGTTTACTTATCTTTAGTTATATAGCTTCTTTAGCTATAAGTTTTATATACGTTTAAAATATTTAGAATCGTGAAATTGACTTGAGTTAGAAAATAACTAAACAAAAATAATTACATTTTTAAAAATATATATAGTATATATGATGATACGACAATTTCATTTATTGGGCGTCATATTTAAATAGTGTTAAATTATATAGAATATATACACACAAAACAAGGAATTAAATAATTATAATATATAAATAATAATATTATTAATTCAACTAACAATAAATTCGAGTTTAAGTTAAAAAAATAATCCATGTAGAAAGTTATTCATTTTACACTTCAATTAGTTTTGTTGTTATTTTACTTAACACAAATATGTATGTTTAGGTATAGGAAAGTAAGACAAATTCCAAATTAAATCAAAATTTAGAGTCGAAAAAAAAAAAAACAACACTACAGACTCCCTTGTAGTGTTTCAATTTTGATACATATATATCATTTATATATGTGAAATACGCATATTTATCAGTTATATATATTCATATATGTATGTGTGTATGTGTTTAGTTGTATACTTTATAATTAGTGTGAGCGTTTCTTAGTTTCAAACTAAACTCGCCATAAAACTCTGCAGTCGAGCAGGCCTCATTAGTTGTTTTTGCATTCTATATATATATAGATATAGACATATATATTTTCATTAAATTAATGTATTTTGGGCGCACTTCGATCGTTGATCTTTTGATTGCGTTTCAAGGTCGCTCCACGCTTAATTTGATCCATCAGCGACTCGTGGCATATACGCGGATCCGGCTGCAATTCATTAAAAGGGAATACTAATTAGCTAGGGATTTATAACAACATACATCTATTAATTAATCGAAGCTGGATTATATTTACATATAGTACACTATATGCAGTTAATGCGCATTTCAACTCGGGCTTTTAGTTAGGCACACAAAACGCAACAGAAACGAAAACAAAATGAATACCTTAACACTGTTCATCACAAGTGCTGTTCATATTGCTGTTGAAATTGGAGTTGGTATTGGTGTTGGTGTTGTTGATAAAGGTGTTGGTATTGGTGTTGGTGTTGGGATAGGTGGGTGGTCTACGATACTGGGCACTGGGGCGCGCCAAACTTTGCGGATTCTGATACATCTAAATATGTCGCGCAACACAATCACAGCATATAGTATAGAGTATATGATATAATAGAGGATAGTACATAATATAGTATAGTATAGAATAAGAATAGGTACGCAGTATAGGATCAAGTATATATTAATATAGTAGAGATTACTAATTATCATAGTATACAAGAAATTACCATAGTATATGGTATAGTATTGTTTAAATTAGTCATAGTATTCTATAGTGTCACAGTAGATGTTTGAGAATAGGTATAGTATATGATATTACTATATAAGAGTATAGAGTGAAATCGAGATGCAAATGCCTCAGGTGATATCTGATTGATGCTCTACTTACCAGGGCCTTGCTATTGATTAGATTTCGCACTGCAAATGCACGTCCAGACATTCCCTGTTT